AACGACTCATGATCAATATGTATCATGAACTCCTTAGGCCAAAGATAATGCTGCCACATTTCTAAGGCCTTTACCAATGTGTACATCTCTTTGTCATATGTAAGTTAGTTAAGTGCTGCACCAGTCAATTTTTCACTGAAAAACGCAATAGGCCGCCACTCTTGCATCAAAACAATGCCAATGCCAATACTTGATGCATCACATTCAATTTCAAAAGTTTTAGTAAAATCAGGTAAAGCAAGTAATGGTGCAGAAAATAAATTTTCCTTAATCGAATTGAAAGCATTCTCCTGTTCACTGTCCCACTTAAATCTGACACTTTTTTTCACGATTTCAGTCAATGGAGCTGCAATTGTGTTGAAGTCCTTGATGATTCTCCGGTAGAAACTTGCCAAACCATGAAAACTCCGCACCTTAGAAATATTCTTAGGTGTTGGCCATTCTTCAATAGCCTTAATCTTTTGTAATTCCATCAGCTGAAACAATATACTCTAAAAAGACAATCTGATTTGTGCAAAAGGAACACTTTTTAAGGTTAGCAAACAACTTTTCTTTTCTCAAAACCTCTAATACCATTCGCAGATACACAATATGATCAGTTAAACTCTTACTATATATCAGAATGTCATCAAAATAAACAACCACAAATTTGCCAATGAAAGCACGCAAAACATGGTTCATTAGTCACATGAATGTACTTGGTGCGTTAGTTAATCCAAATGCCATAACTAATCACACATATAAACCATGTTTCGTTTTAAAGGTTGTTTTCCATTCATCTCCTCCCTTCATCCTAATCTGATGATACCCTCTTTTTAAATCAATTTTAGTGAGTATGCAAGAACCATGCAGTTCATCTAACATGTCATCTAATCTAGGAATAGGGTGACGATACTTTACAGTGATTTTGTTGACAGTGCAACAATCAATGCACATATGCCAAGTCCCATCCTTCTTAGGCACAAGTAGCACTGGAACTGCACATGGACTCATGCTTTCTCTCACATGCCCCTTCTTCACGAGTTCTTCAACCTGCTTTTGAAGTTCTTTTGTCTTATTGAGGTTGCTTCGATATGCTGGTCGATTTGGAATTGTTGCACCTAGAATGAAGTCAATCTGATGCTCAATTCCTCTTATTGGTGGTAAACCATTAGGGATGTCCTCTGGAAACATGTCCTTGAAGTCCTGCAAAAGAGATTTAATAACACTAGGCAAAGAATCATTAAGTTCGTTAGTGTTGAAATAAGCATCTTTATATAGAAGCACAAACATAGGCTGCTTTGAAAAGAACGCAAGCTTGACATCACTTTCTTTTGCATAAACACTCACTCATTTTCTCTCTTTGTTTTCAACACTCTCAATCTTTTCTCTCTTTTTGGATTCTTTTTTTGCTGTTTTCTCTTTGACTCTCTTTTTTTACTCTCGATTGATCCTCATAAACCTGCCTTGGACTCAATGGTGCAAGAGTAATTGTTTTCCCCTCCATGACAAATGAATAGCAATTTTTGAGGCCATCAAGTGTTACCCTTCTATCATATTTCCATGGTCTCCCTAAGTAAATGTCCAGCATGCATAGGAACCACGTCACAAAGTACCTCATCCTTATATCGTCCAATAGAGAATGAAACCAAAACTTGCTTATTTACCTTGATTTCTCCACAATCGTTTAACCATTGCAGCTTATATGGCCTTGGATGCTTCGTCATAGGTAAATTAAGCTTTTCAACTAGAACAGTGCTAGCTACATTAGTACAACTACCACCATCAATAATCACACTACATACCTTGTTTTTGACATGGCACCTCATGTGAAATATATTATCACGTTGTACTTCATCATCTTCTTTAGCTTGCACATTCAAAGCTCGCCTGGTGACGAGCAATTCTCCATCTACGGCATATTCCACACCATCATTAGCACCTTCTAATGGTGGCATAGATTCATCATCAGATTCACCCTCGGTTTCCATTTCTCCATCTTCTCTCAAGATCATCGTGTGCTTATTAGGACATTGCGATGCAACATGCCCCCTTCCCAAGCATCGAAAACACTTGACGTCTCAATTTCTGCCTTGCATATTATCTGTTTTACTCTTCTCATTGCTGGCAACTTATTTTGACTTAGATGCTGTAGTTTTAGGCTTAAAAGCAGAATTTTCTTCCTTTATGCTCCAATTCAGTTTGCAAGAAGATGAGGAACCTGAATTTTGTCCAGTTCTGCTGGTGGCTCCTTTGTGCTTGAGTTGCCGTTCTACTTTCATCGCCATATGCACCATATATTCTAATTCCACATAATGCTGCAACTCTACCACATTAGCTACATCACGTTTTAAGCCATGCAGAAACCGTGCCATAGTTGCTTCTCTATCCTCTTCCATATTCGCTCTACAGTGCGATTTCCATCTCTTTGTGATAATCCTCAATGCTTTCGGACCCTTGAGTAAAGCCCTGCAATTGTTGATAGAGATCACGGTAGTAGTGACTAGGAACAAATCATTTTCTCATCACAGCTTTCATCTCTTCCCAAGTGTCAACAGGACGCTCTCGATTTCTACGTCGACTAAGCACAAGCTGATCCCACCACACCACAGTGTAACCAGTAAATTCCACCGCTGCTAGTTTCACTTTTTCTCCTCAAAATAGTTATGGCAATCAAACACCAATTCCACCTTTCCCACTCCAAATACACATCTGGATCATTTTTGCCTTGAAACGGAGGAATCTTCATCTTGATGCTACCTAAGTCACGATCTTGCTGATCCCACCTCATCAGATTTTGCTCTCTTTTAGTTAAACCTACCTTTTTGATCCCTTCTACCTCTCATAAATCTGTCCATGCTGAAATTTGAGTTTTGGGCATCATTGTTGAATGCATCTTCATAACCGTTATTGAGATAATCATTAGTGTCATTCCTATGCAAATTCGGACTTCCATTATGTATTTGGTATAAATTGGCTATAGCTGCATCTTTCTTCTCCATTTTGTCTCTAATCTCACCAAACATGATGTCCAGCCTCTGCAATTGTTGTTGCATTACTTTGAGCATGAGAGGTTCATCCACATGGCGTCTTCTAGTGCTTGACTTGTCATCACCGCTTGAAATGATTGAAACCTGCAACAAATGTTAGAAACAAAAGAATAAAAGGACCTCACAACACTCCCTTACGTGTCTCACTCCACTCTCACAGAATGGCACTCAACACTCGTGTTTTGCACACTATAGAACTTGGCTTTTCTCTCAAGTGTTGCTCACACCTCTTGCCTTTTTCCCTCACTCAACTTTTCTCTTTTAGTTCATTATTGAACTAAACAAGCTCAATTCAAGTTATTTTGCAGAAATCTAACTCTAACAAATTTGCAAGAGTTAAAGGAAATAGAAAGACACAAAGGAACGAACAAAAAAACCAATAAAAGAACCAAACCTAGACAAATTAAAATGAAAAGATCAGTTCAAGCACTTCCTAGTAGGAATTGACTTCACTATTCGTTAATGCAGTAGGATTCCTAACTTAGGAAGGAATAAACAAAATTGCTATCTCCTTGTTTGAATAGAACTCAAAGAGAATTTCCAACTCCTTATTGGAGTAGGATTCCTTCTTCTTTAAGGGTTTGACCACAAATTTCTTCTCTATATAAGGAATTCCAACCACAGAATTTGTGTTGCTTGTTTCTCTCTCTCCTTTTTTTTTTTGTCTTTTTTTTTGGCGATCCTCTTCCTTTTTTTTTTTTTTTTAAACCAGCAACACAGATTC